TTCATACATTTTAATTATTTTGAAGTAGATAATTCATTTATTAGGTTCGATATACGTGTAATTAATATCTATGTTCCTACTTTTTAATTATTTTGAAGTAGATAATTCATTTACTAGGTTCGATATACGTGTAATTAATATGGAAAATTATGGAAAATCGATCATATGGTTCAATCAAGGCAAAATTAGTCATTGCGTATTCAATTTAATTATCAATAATTCATTGAAACACATTTGACATAACTCTGAATATCTACATTTACAATGACCTACTTCTGCTGCAGTTTATCTCAGGATACTTTAAGGCGCTTTGTCTTTTCATCTCCATATAGAAATCGATAACTATTTCCTGATTATCATATTACCGAGTAATATTACGTACCTTAAAAGCAAACAGATCGTTATTTTTTTGCCAAGGAACCAAACACACTGACCATGACCTTACTATTTATTCCCATGATGAATTAAACCTATCAGTTTGTGAACAGCCATCAAATGACAAGTTCAAACAGAAAAATTGATTGTCCTATTTAAATTATGCCGTCATCAAATGACAAATTCAACCAGAAAATTAGATTGTCGTTATCGAAAGTATGCAATCAATTGACGAGTTCAAACAGACAAAATCGATTGTATTTCTGGAACTTCATACAATAAATTCATTTTGAAGAAAAAATTAAAGTTTCATTTTTACATAAGACCTTAAAATGGAACCATGAACTTTGAAAACTAAATGGCAGCATTGTTTATCAGATTGCAGTTGTAGTAGTCATTTAAATGATCTATTTTCTCAGCTTTCTCGGGAATATAATACATGTGTACAACTAACCCAAGGCTAATGCTTTTCTTGCGTAATTGTGTGCTAATGCGTTTCCCGAGATTATCCTCTTTTAACCAAGCCAGGTTTAGGTACCTTTGGCGCAGCTTGTTATCTCAGATAAATTCATCTTAACTCAAAGTCGTATTTCATGCATTGCGATTGTCTAGTCCAAAGACTGGGTAATCTATTGATACCACCTTCAAAATAAATGTTGTCAGCCTTTGAGCTTTAGTTCTATACATAGATTGTAGGCAGTTTATCTATAAAACTGGAAAATGGACATCATCATCGTCGTCTCCGTCATGGTTACCATCGGAACATAGTTCTGTGAAATTATCTAATTAAATATTGTAAACGATGAGAAATAAGACGAACTTTTATAATATACCGTGTAAACATGTACAGGAACAACACAGACATAAATTCAGTGACCATATATGCATTAGGGTTTAACTGTACATCAGCACAATAAGGCATATATGGTGCCCATCAATGGCATCGTTTTAAAAATTTAAATATAACGAATTTGCAAAAACCTATAGGAAGATAAGCTCTTGCAAATGAATGTAAAAATTAAATGCTCAGAGATAAAGATTGAAAATCAAAGATAAAGAATTACTCTAAATATTTTCAGGAAACAAACCCTATCAAATAAATGGAAACATGAAGCATTATAAGATATAAGATAAAGATGAATTTGTTTTTTTTTTTTTAAAAAAGTCGAAAAATAAAAGTTAAATATAACTCTTAACATAAAGGGTTAACATTTTTTGTATATAGAATAGACCTTAAAATAAATGGTCAATATTTTCATATTAACTTTAAAATAAGGGCCAATATTATTTTAAAATTAACCGCATTTCCTCGAAAATTCCCAGATTTTCTCTGCCGATACACATCGTACAATTTCTTTTTATTAGGGTTGCATAATATATATGCAACAAGTATGTCAGTGGACATCGGCATGGTATGCAGTCTGGTCGATGTTCATCCTTCAAGAGGAATGAACGAGTCGGGGATGTGTCCTATACATGATCGGGTATGTGTCCTTTATATGATAGGTATGTGTTCTTTACGTGATCGGGTATGTGTCCTTTACGTGATCGGTATGTGTTCTTTACGTGATCGGTATGTGTCCTTTACGTCATCGGTATGTGTCCTTTACGTGATCGGTATGTGTCCTTTACGTCATCGGTATGTGTCCTATATATGATCAAGTATGTGTCCTTTACGTGATCGGTAAGTGTCCTTTACGTGATCGGTATGTGTCCTTTACGTCATCGGTATGTGTCCTTTACGTCATCGGTATGTGTCATATATATGATCAGGTATGTGTCTTTTACGTGATCGGTATGTGTCCTTTACGTGATCGGTATGTGTCCTTTACGTCATCGGTATGTGTCCTATATATGATCAGGTATGTGTCCTTTACGTGATCGGTATGTGTTCTCTATATAATCAGGTATGTGTCCTTTACGTGATCGGTATGTGTCCTCTATATAATCAGGTATGTGACCTTTACGTGATCGGTATGTGTCCTTTACGTGATCGGTATGTGTCCTGTATATGATCAGGTATGTGTCCTTTACGTGATCGGTATGTGTCCTATATATGATGAGGTATTTGTCCTTTACGTGATCGATATGTGTCCTCTATATTATCAGGTATGTGACCTTTACGTGATCTGTATGTGTCCTCTATATTATCGGGTATGTGTCCTTTATGAAATCGGTATGTGATATATGCATGCTTACAATATTCGATACTGATTTTAATATACGAGTGAGTATTCATCCTAGAGCCAGAGGATCTCCTTATTTTACTGTTGCACTCTGCATTGATTGACGGGGCGAGATTACATTAGTATATACGGTATTATTCAGTTTTTCTATTTTTTTATGATGGCGCATCGGCATTCAGATCAAAGAACGTTTCCCGTTCCCAGTTTGTGCCATGAAACTGAATGCTGCAGCTACATGGCTAACAGAAACATTTTTTTTTAATGAGAAGCTCTTTCGACACACGTAATGAACTTGTTTCGGCGTTTGCCTTGGGCGAGAAGCATTTCTGGTCCCGTGCCCCTCTCCCCCATAAACATCGACGTGGTTTTCGTGCTTATCTTGTCTGCTGTGAGTTGGCGCTTAATGCATTATCTGGTCTCCAATTTAGCTGCCAATCAATACTCGTTGTAACAGCTGAGGAGGTGAAGATATGTGTGATACTTTGACAACTTCGCAAATAAATGTCCTGATTTACATGGTCGATACGTTCAAAACGTGTCAGACTGACAGAAATATTACACAAGAACCACATAACTCGTAATCTGTCTGTTCTTATCGACATCTGTCTACGCTTATATTATTAGATGTTTAACATGTATTATTGTTTTTAAGAAGGAATGCATTCGTAATTGATATAAGGAACAAAAATGCCAGTTAACTATTGGTTTTGTTATTGTTGGGGACGAATTTATTTTTTTAATGTTCGTATATTGATATGTGGCTCATATTTATTATTTATGTTCTCATTTTCTCTCTCTCTTAAATACACACGCACGCATTCTGATTCTGTGAAATAACATGATCTCTTGCGTAAAAAGAGAGGGTCACAGATAATAATAATAATAATAATAATAATAATAATAATAATAATAATAATAATAATAATAATAATAATAATGCCATTCTTGGCAAATACAGACGTGTTATAAACTTGTAGCAGGAAATGTAATTTTGTAATTTTCTTAAATATAAGAAAACCACAAGCCATCTATGTTTTGCCAAAATGACTCGATAACAGCCTCGTTAATACCGTAATTATCTGCATGAATATGGCTAACATGTAAAAAAATAACAAAATATAATAATAAAAAAGGAGACTGCCATATTGATATGTTTCAGGTTTCCAAGATCCAGATGCGTTAATATCGATATAATCCTTTTTTAAGCTTTTTGGGGTATAATATATTTCTCTTCAAATCCACGCAGAGTCCGCCCCGGATGCAGGAGGTGGGGGTTAGAGCCCCGGCTTATTCATACAAAAGATGAATAGCTGTTGATAGCAGCACAAGGTCAGGACCATGCATCATACAGTGCAGGTTGGACGAAAGAGACGCCATTACGACAATTAAAATCCTGAAAAGGTAAGAGAATAGTTTCCATTACAAGCATATAAAGAATTATAAATAATAAATAAATAATAATAATAATAATAATAATAATAATAATAATAATAATAATAATAATAATAATAATAATAATAATAATAAATAATAAATAAATAATAAATATAGTCTATTAGTTGTAAACCCATCATTAATATGTTTTTATTTTGTACCTAATTTGAGGTTTCGCTGAAATTTTAACCACCGTTTTTTTTTTCCCTTGACAAAATTTTATTGTTGTAATAATCGGCTTATTTCCAAGTCAAATCACCCGACAAGTGGGAACCACCGTAGCTTAATGGGTAGAGTGTATCACTTGTAAACCAACGGTCACCAGTGGGATTCCCACAGGTAGCTGATAAATTGAGACAGATTACTCTTTTTTTATTCCTTTAAAATTAGCACCCAAACATCGATATCGGAAATTACAGACAGTGTAAGAAGCTGACTTTAAGTATTATTACAGTAATGTAGCAAATGATTTTGGAAGCATAACTTCACTAATCTATTAATAGCACTGAAGGTATCACCACACCAATTAACCAATGACTTGGAAGGTATAATCATGCTAATTTAGCTAATGACTTTGTAGATATCACTACACTGAGCTAATGACTTTGAAAGCATCACCACACTAATGTAGTTAATGACTCTGAGGGTATCACTACATTAATGTACCTAATGACTTTGAAGGTATCGTTACACTAATGTAGCTAATGACTTTGAAGTATCACTAATGTACTTAATGACTACGAAGGTTTCATTAAACTAATTAAGATAATGACTTTGAATGTATCACTAATGTACTTAATGACTTTTAAGGTATCACCGCACTAATTTAGCTAATGACTTTAAATATATCATTGCACTAATGTAGCTAATGACTTTGAAAGTGATTTGATGTGTGATGTGATTATGACATGTAGTATGACGCCCCACCCAGTCACGTTATCCGGACACACCTTTTAATGCTGAGCGCCAAGCGAGGCAGCTGTTAGTACCATTTTTGTAAGTCTTTGTTAGGACTCGACCGGGGATAGAACCCACGGCCTCCCGCATTCGAGGCGGACGCTCTAACCACTAAGCCACCGGAGGACTTTGAAAGTGTCATTACACTAATGTAGCTAATGACTTTGAATGTATCATTGCACTGATGTCGTTTTAAAGGCATCATTACTCAGAGCTAATGGCTTTGAAATTATCACTACACCAATGTAACCAATGTACATGACTTTGAAATTATCACTACACCAATGTAACCAATGTACATGACTTTGAAATTATCACTACACCAATGTAACCAATGTACATGACTTTGAAATTATCACTGCACCAATGTAACCAATGTACATGACTTTGAAATTATCACTGCACCAATGTAACTAATGTACATGACTTTGAAATTATCACTACACCAATGTAACTAATGTACATGACTTTGAAATTATCACTGCACCAATGTAACTAATGTACATGACTTTGAAATTATCACTACACCAATGTAACTAATGTACATGACTTTGAAATTATCACTACACCAATGTAACTAATGTACATGACTTTGAAATTATCACTACACCAATGTAACTAATGTACATGACTTTGAAATTATCACTACACCAATGTAACTAATGTACATGACTTTGAAATTATCACTACACCAATGTAACTAATGTACATGACTTTGAAATTATCACTACACCAATGTAACTAATGTACATGACTTTGAAATTATCACTACACCAATGTAACTAATGTACATGACTTTGAAATTATCACTACACCAATGTAACTAATGTACATGACTTTGAAATTATCACTGCACCAATGTAACTAATGTACATGACTTTGAAATTATCATTACACAGACGTTGCTAATGATATGAAGGTATCGTTACACTGAGCTAATATCTTTGAAAGTATTACACTAATTGAGCTAATGAACGGTTGCTAATAATCATCGTATTTACTAATAAAATAATTCATATTTTTTTCTGACTTTTCTCAGACATCTGCTAACGATTTAATAAAGAATTGCTACACACAAGGGGTCACTTTACCAAGCAAATGGAACATTTGCGTGAGTGTAACTGGAAGTCTCTTGCTTTCTCCTATTTCCAAAGGAAGTCAAGACTACAGTCGTTGTTGACTGGGAGATCCCATAACGTGCAAACTTAAAACAGTTTTCTTTGATCAGCCAATGACAAAAAATATCGCAACTATAAGTATAAAATTGCATAAAGTTTCCTTAGTTTCCTTTAAATACTTGTTTTCAGACGTGCCTACAAGGACAAACAAAATTGTTCACTACGTTGAAATAAGTAAATTCAGAATCCATGACACAACACCCATACAGGATGAATCATTTTAAATAGGAATACATAAAATAGGAGATTCAATATTGACTGGACAATGATTTTATAGAGCCCAGTAAGAGTGATTGGAGTTCAACGTGCATTCTTGTTCTGAAACCGGATAAAACTTTTCGAATGTGTACATAATATATGAAGGTGAACAGTGTACAAAAACGGACTCATTTCCATTGCCAAGAAGCGTTGAATTTGAATGTATGAACAAAATTTGAAATGCCAAATACGTCACTAAATTCGTACTTCTGGAGGTTTTTTTTTTTTGTAAATTCCACTAACTGAAAGAGCAAAAGAAATTTCGGCATTTGTGACTTCAGATGGACTCGACCAATACAAAGTAATGCCTTTTGGGATGAAGGGTTTTCCGAGTACATTTCAACGCATTATTCTGTGATGCCTATATTGATGATGTCATCTTCTAGAACAATACCTGAAAAGAATATCTAGCCACGATTCGGAAGTTCTTCGACAGACTCACGGATGCAAATTTGACTATTAATTTATCTAAAAGTTAGTTCTGCTGTGCGTGAGTTACTTTTCTAGGACATATTGTGGGACATGGTAAGATGAAACCTTTAGATGCTACAGTCAAGACTATTTCTGAATTTCCTGTACCTGTCAATAGAAAACAGCTGATGCGACTTTGGGGTATGGCTGAGTGCTATCACAATTTTTGCTCTAATTTTTCTGATATTGTTGAATCTCAGACAAACTTTTTGAGAAAGAAAAACAAATTTCTTTTGATTGACAAATGTCAAGAGGCTTTAGATTAAAAGCCATACTTGAAATTACACCAATTTTAACAGCTCCAGATTTCGGTCAGCCGTTCAAACTATCTATGGATCCAAGTGATGTTGGGTTTGGAGCAGTTTTGTTACAAGTTGACAAAAATAGTGTGGAACAGCCTGTGCTTTACTTCTCAAAAACATTAAATAAACACCAAAGTAACTACTCAACAATTGGCAAGGAGTGCTTGGCTTTAATGCTAGCATAACAGCATTTTTAAGTTTATATAGCTCGGCTCCTTCTCCGGTTGTTGTGTTCAGTGATCACAACCCCCCACTTTCATTAGTAGAATGAAAAATAAAAATCAGACGCTGTTGAGATGGAGTTTATTTTTTCAAGAGTACAATCTTGACAGAAATGTCATTGTCGTATACACCTTTGTGCAAATTCATAAAAGTTATTTTTATGCATTTTTATACCTCATGTATAATTTGCATCTTGCAAAAAAGAAAGTTTTATTACATAAATCTTTTTTTTCTTTATGGGGGAAAGTGTTACGATCCTGTAGTTAATTCACATCTGTTTAAGAAATGAATTCTGTATCAGTCTTTTTATTTCATTTTTTATATCATTAAATGTAGTTATTATTATTATTATTATTATTATTATTATTATTATTATTATTATTATTATTATTATTATTATTATTATTATCATTATTATTGTTGTTATTATTATTATCATTATTATTATTATTATTATTATTATTATTATTATTATTATTATTATTATTATTATTATTATTATTATTATTATTATGTTTTATTATGTTAGCATGGGTGTGAAGTTTCCTAAGAAACATCGTGTTTACCTAAATCGTAAATGGGACCGTGAAAGCGCGAGCTTTGTATGATAGTAAATTCGTCACAAGTAAACATTCAGAAGTAGCTATCGAAATGATTGGCTATTTTTTGTTCAGGCTTTCCTAATTTCCAGTTGGATTGTGAATTCACACGTGTTCATCGTGCGTGTTTACATGAAACGACGTATTAGCTTGTTTTATATGCTTAGTTATCTGTAAAAAAAAAGTTCAGTCGTAGCCGTAATTGCAGTTCAGTGTTTGTTTTTAACATCTTAGAGAGCTACATAGCTTCTATTACCTTAAAAAGGGTATTTTTGTGCTGGAGTCTGTTCGTATGTCTACGTAAGACATGTTTTGTTAGTTGAGATAATTGTGCTTCATCTACTTTCAAAATTTTTTTTCCTGGAGAACAACACTACTTTTTTGGACAAGGACATTTTCTGAAATTTCTTCTAAACTGGAACAAAATAATACAAATTGTTCTTCACTGTGAAAATTCTGGACCTTTTTGTGTTAGCCTTCGTCTGACGTTATCATCCGCCATCTTGGACCGGAACTGAACTCCAGACTGTGTCAATTCAGAACTGTTCACAGGACATGTGTTTTCATATTTTTATAACAAATTTTTGGATCTCCTTCGTAAATCGTAAGTCTTGTTTCATATATTTATCTTTTCTCCGTGTTTTCTAGGAAAAAAATATTCTTGTTAATATTTACAAAGCTTGTCTTCACTCTTTATTTGTGTTACTTTGAACTAGCCGATTCGTAACAGTTGATTTTACTAAACTAATAGGCTTCTCTTTCTTTGTTACATATTTTGAGACCTAGTCGCAACATTTGTAAAATCAACGATTAATGGTAACGGTTACAGTGAAATTACATGTTCCTTGCAAAATGATTTTATTTGACGTTATTTGTTAATTAAACATATATTAACACTATAAGCCATGGAGGCGATAGTTCATAAAATGAATGGTTTTCATTTCATAATCGAAATAAGTCATTTGAAAGAAAACGATAAAGACAAGGGAAGTATACAAGATCTTGCGAAAGCATTTAGCTATTTACGACTTGCCGTAAATGTCATAGACAAGCTTTTCCTTGGGGAAAACTTAAGTTATCTCAATAATTTTATCATAATAAAAAGATTCACTGACAAAAACGCAATTTGGTATTTGGTAACAAGAGTTTATGATCTTCAAACTAGTTAGATATTATGAATTTTTAAATGGTCATTCGGCTATTATTTTGTAGAAGATTAGTGACGGAGTATTTTTGTCCCATACTTTTCTATGTAATGATCCTTATTTTGGATGCAGATTCAACTAAATGTAGCGTGACAAAATGCAAGCCAACTTGGATAGTATATAACGATTTTGGATTGCTTGGATATTTAAGTCTGTCCATTTTTTCCAGCGATCAGACATTAATGCCGGCAAACATTTTGCGACAGCTGCCGGTAAAGACTCCGAACTAGTAGGTTCCATCTATTTAGACCATACTCTGCACGCGATATATCGTATATAATCTATTATTTAATGTATTATGGACTGTTGTTTGCCATGTTAGATTGGCATTATGGGTAATGAAAGGCCAGATAAAGCAACCAAAGCTATTCTGAGGTTACCGGTTTTATATACTGATTTAATATATTATATAAACCAATATGTTCAAAATATTTGCCAAAATATATGAAATGAAAAGTCCACCAACAAGCTTCGTAAAATGGAGAGTGACATCCCTTATATGGTATTGCATTTGCCTATCACGTACCGGTTACGATCAACACACATGGCGGTCACGATCAACTTCTCGAAGATGGAATTTCGACCAGAGTGCAATGTTATCTATATTCAGTTTATATTGCTGGTTGGCATTTTCCCATGATTATATATATATATATATATATATATATATATATATATATATATATATATATATATATATATATATATATATATATATATATATATATATATATATATATATATATATATATATATATATACTGTGTGATAAAACTTTTCAGTAATCCAGTTAAGGTCTGACCTGACTAGTGATATTTATTTTGGAGACACCATAATACATAGCTAATATCTATGTATGATTTTAGAATAAATATTCAGATAATTATTTATGG